AAGTCACATGGAGGAGGGAGCAAGCTTGTTTTCTGCTTCCCTGGAGACTAGGACGTGGAACAATTGCTTCAAACTACAAGTAAGGAGATTCCATCTGAACATGAGGAAGAACTTCCTGACTGTGAGAGCCGTTCAGCAGTGGAACTCTCTGCCCCGGAGTGTGGTGGAGGCTCCTTCTTTGGAAGCTTTTTAACAGAGGCTGGATGGTCACCTGTCAGGGGTGCTTTGAATGCAATATTCCTGCTTCTTGACAGGGGGTTGGACTGGATGGCCCATGAGGTCTCTTCCAACTCTAGGATCCTATGATTCTATAGCATCATTTGGTGCTTATGTGAGGCCGCCCTGTGTCCCCTCTTGGGGGGAGAAGGGCGGGGTAAAAGTGCATGAAATAAATAAATAAATAAAATTTTAATAATAGTTTTTATTGTTATACCTTATAATAAAAACTAAATATAGAAACATAATATTGTTTACACACACAAAAGATAAAATGAAAAGAGTGTGTGTGTTGTGGAGCTCTCATTAGTACATTAAAGCTATATAAATATCTGCCTTATCTCTTGATTGTCAAGGCCAGCCAAAATGATGAAAAATCCTTTACATTTAATGCTTTGTGGCAAATAAGTGCTTAACGATTATATTTGGGCAATTAAAAGCTTTTCAAGATACTATTTGTTCCTGCTCCCCACCCATGTTTCAAGACGAGTACAAGAATTGTAATGAACCAAACTCTCTTTTTGTGTACACATGCATGGTTTTAGACATGGATCTGCCTAACTGACAAAATATAGTCTTCTAGCAGATAGCCACGGGTGCATCTACACTGTAGAATTAATGCAATTTGACATCACTTGATTGCTATGGTTCAATGGTATGGAATCGTGGGAGGTGTGTTTAGGTGTGAAGCCAGCATTCTTTGGCAGAGAAGGCTAAAGATCTTGTAAAACAACAGCTCCCATGATTCCACAACATTGAGCCATGGCGGTTAACGTGGTGTCAAACTACAGATGCACCTTTAGTTGCCTTTGCCATGGCCTGCAAACTCATAGATTTAATGTATTGGTAATCTACGTCCCTGGACAGCACTGAATGCCACAGACAATATGCAGCAAGTTTCATGTCTATATTGGACTTTTAGATTAAAGAAAGTTAATGTAGCATTATGCAAGTTTGCTTACTATACTGTTATAATTTCACTATCATGTGAAGATTTTTTAAGAATTGTATGTGTTAATGCTAGATTTTGTAAAAACCTTCCTTCTATTTTATCATAATTGTTTTGTTATTCATTAACACTCCCCACTCTTTCCAAGAATGTTAATAACCAGTTCATACTTTTGTGGACTGTAGACTGATGATAGATTCTAAGTAAGCCTGAAAAGTGATGTAACTGGAAAAATCCAAGGGAGTCTATATCTATAGTGTGACCACGGTGAGAAATTTCCTTGACACTTGTTAAATTTAAATGCTGATAAGAAACCATTTAAATTTTTTAAGCTGTCAAACGAGTGGAATTCCATGGGCACAAGATCTACTAAAAATGGAAATGTGTCCTTGTAATTTGTCTTGTGCCTTCACGTCGTTTCTAATTTACAGCATCCATAAAGTGACCCAATCATGGAATTTTGGGGGCTGAGAGATTGTGGATCACCAGGGTGAGTTTTCATGGCCAAGTGAAGATTCAGGCTGGATCTACACTGCCATATAATCCAGTTCAAAGCAGACAATCTGAATGTTATATAGCAGTGTGGGGCCCCATCTACTCTACCATATAAAATCCAGACTATCTGCTATAAACTGGATTATATGGCAGTGTAGCTCTAACATGGATGGGGCCTCAAACCCTGGTTTCCAGTTGTCCAACTCTTAAGCCATACACTGCACTGGCTGTTAGTCTATCTTCTACTCACATAATATGTTGTTACAACCCAGAATACAATGCATAGCATTGGACTGCTCACAAACTATTGTGCACACTATAATGTTTTTGTAAATTCAGTGATATTGTATCTATGTAAAGACATGCTTTATTAGTTGTTTTTAATGCAGTATGTTACCATGTTTTGATTTTAAAACTATTCTCTTTCCAATATTTTTTTTCCCTGGAATATTAATAATCTAGAGGATTTTTTAATCACTTGAAAAACAAGGCATTTTAAATAAGGGAACATTATTCCTTGTTTGGAAGAATCTTCTCTAATGAGATAAAATCACCTGTGAGATCTGAACAAAAGGGAAAATAGAAATAATTAAAGAACAAAGGGCACATTCTCAGTTTTCTTTAATTTTGCAAAACATTGAAACACTGTAGGAATATATTTTAGAGATTAACATCTGGCATGCTTTGTAAGTCACTGAATACATTCCTTGCCTATTCAGTGGCGCTTTATAAAGAACCACTACAAGCTACTTGGGGATTTCTTTCTTGTAATTAAACAAATTAGTTGAATTAATATTATATGTATGGTTTATTTATTTATCGTATCAGAAGAGAACTGAGGGTACAGTTGTAATATATTTTAAAAGCACAAAGTTTAAAAACTTTGTATTATATTAAATGTCCTTTGACCAGTAGCTGGCTATTTGGAGTGCCTTGGTGTTGCTATAAAAAGGTCCTTCATTTTGCATGTGGCAGAACCCAGACCACATTGTAGTAGGTGGTCTGTGGTTTGCTCGTCTTCACACTCACATGTCGTGGACTACACTTTGTGGCCCCAATTCTTAAGGTTGGCTCTGCATCTCGTGGTGCCAGAGCACAGTCTGTTCAGCGCCTTCCAAGTCGCCCAGTCTTCTGTGTGCCCAGGAGGAAGTCTCTCGTTCGGTATCAGCCATGGATAGAGGTTCTGAGTTTTAGCTTGCCACTTTTGGACTCTTGCTTGCTGAGGTGTTCCTGCAAGTATCTCTGTAGATCTTAGAAAACTGTTTCTTGATTTGAGGCATTGGCATGCTGACTGATATCCAAACAGAGGATGGGCCGGAGATGTCACTGCCTTGGTCCTTTCATTATTGGCTGCTACTTCCCGATGTCAGGTGGTGCAATACTGTCTAAACAGTATAATTTCTCAAGTGGTGTAGGGTGTAGACATCCTGTGATAATGCAGCATGTCTCATTAAGAGCCACATCCACTGTTTTAGCGTGGTGAGTTAAGTTCCACTCTGAGCAAGCGTACTCAGTAGCAGAGTAGCAAAGCCAAGGGCAGATGTCTTCCCTGTATCTGGTTGTGATCTCCAGGTTGTGCCAGTTAGCTTTTGTTGCTTGATGTTCAAGCAGTGCTTCTTGTAGGTCAGAACATGGTTCAGGGTAACTCCCAGGTATTTGGGTGTGCTGCAGTGCTCCTGTGAGCTTCCTTCCCAGGTAATCCTCAGTATGTATGATTGAATTATGTTGCCAAAATTGTCAAACCGTGAACTCAGCAAGACCCAGACTCAAAAACAGAAAACTGACTCAAATATCATATTTGCCTGATCTACTGTAAACAACATACTTAATTATTTGTTCAAATTTGTTTTCATATTATTAACTTTATGAACACAAGATATACACTTGTATCAAGATATGCAAACATTTCTTATTTTTGCAAATATGTAATATTAGAAATTGATCTAAGAATAATAAAAGTACTGGGGAATCTGTCTCAGCCTGCCCTAGAGATGAAGGATGATTGATGCCTTTTGCAACAAATCACCCCATACCTTCTGTCTCCTAAAATGCTCAAGGTGATAATGGAAATTGTATTGTTACAAGTGCTAATTTATACTGAGAAATAGACCAAGATCCATATAATGTTTTCTGAAATTAAATTCCAGGAATCAAAAATTCTGAAAGTAATAAGGAAGCCTAATATAGTTCAGCATTTGTTAAATGTTTTAAGTTTATCACTGCCTACAATTTAGAATTTATGCAAATACTGTAGGCAAAGTTTAAATTAACCATATGTGTCTAATCCAAACTAAACATTTTGAGAGGACCTGCATAGGCATCTACTATGCTACCTGCCTACAGTCTGCACTATAGAATGAATGCAGTTTGCCACCAGTTTAACTGCCATGGCTCAATGCAATAGAAGCATGGGAGCTGTAGTTTTACAAAATCTTTATCTTTCCCTGCCACAGACTATTGGCACATCACCAAACTACAGATCTCAAGATGCCATTGCTTTTGGCCATGGATGGCAGTTCATCACACTAGTGAGACTGTTAAAGGCTCCTCCCTAAACTACAAACCCCAGAATTCTGCAGGAGCTAGCAACCAGGTTTAAAGTAGATTCATTCTCTACTGTGATGAGGTCTAAAGTGGTGTCAAACTGCATTCATTCTGCAGTATAGATGTGCCCAAAGAATACTCTCCACAAACAATTACAATAATGCCTCCCTTCTTCAAATTCATGTTGAAGCACAGAGTTACTCATTTCCTTAGATCGGGCCCCTTCTATATTGTCATATAAAATCCAGATTATCTGCTTTGAACTGGATTATATTATATGAGTGTAGACTCATATAATACAATTCAAAGCAGATAATGTGTATTATCTGCTTTGATAATCTGGATTGTATGGCAGTGTAGAAAGGGCCGCAGTTTCCTCTTTACAAAGCTCTTCCTCTTTTGAGCTCTTTTGTAGTAAGTCCAAAACACAAAACACCAACATTTCTGGAATAAAGCAAAATGTTCAAGTTCAGGAATACCTTGCAAAGCCTTGGAAGTGAGAACACAGTGTGTCAATGCTTTTCAAAATACAGTCTTGCTACATAGAGAACTCTTAATTTTTATTTTTATTTTACAAAATACAAGTCCTATTGGAAAGGACTACTGAACTTGGATGGTCAGCAGGCACACTTTTCTTTCTCCTTCTTTCATTCTCCAGTGTGAAGAACTTTGTCTATTCTAAGCCCCAGGCTTTAACTGCCACATTGTAACCCTTTTCTGCAAACTGCAAGAGCAGATTTCTGCCCAGGGTTTTCCTCACTCCAGCAGTGGTGCATGATTATAGTCAGCTGCCTTCATGGAGTCTCCAGATGCAGCTCAGATCCGAGCCCCCAAATGCTCTCGCTGTCGCAACCATGGCTTTGTGGTGCCAGTGAAAGGTCACGCCGGCTACTGCCGCTGGAAGCACTGCCCTTGTGAGAAGTGTGCCCTGATCACTGAACGGCAGAAGATCATGGCGGCTCAGAAGGCCTTGAAGAGGCAAGGACCAGATTCACCGCCCAGGGAGGCACTGCCCTCTGTCCATTGCAGCCCCAATGATGAAATGGATGCGACTGCAGCTGGAAGTAAAAAGAGCTCCAGGAAAAACACCTCTGAGCCCCATGTTGCTGGGCATGAAGAGGCTAAGGTGACCTCTGCACCTGACCAACCCAACAGGATGGTGCCTGACCAAATGCCACCAAAACCTAGCTCTCCAACCTTCATAGATTTAGGTAGGTACACCATCCATAGTTTTTCTGCAACCATTTATACATCCATTGGCATTGTTTCTCTCCATTGCAAATGCTTACCTTTCCTACATGGACTTGAATACAGTTGTCCTGAAAGTTGGTAACTGGCATTTTCTGCTGTTGGGGATTGCTCTTTCCCTGAAAAAAGTTATTCCTATTCATTCATTTGTTGGTAGCTTCCATATCCTGCTTGAGCACATTGTAGCTGCAGAACTTCGGTTCTGGAGGCTATTTGTCCATGTTTCATTGTTGCAAAGTCCTATTTTTTCAGCAAGCTTTGTATTACAAGTGAAATGGGTTGCAGCTGGCTCTGTACAACAAGATTTAACAAGAGATCTATAACACTGGTGAGAAAACATCTCTAGACTCGGAATAATGTATTTTAGAGGAAGCACCATGCACAGCAGGAGCATTTTGCAGCTATTGCACATAAAATGGGAAGCCACTGCACATGAAATAGGAAGCCACTGCAGAACTTATAACAGTACTTATGAAGTATTAAGAAATCAATGACAGCAGTCAGGCTTTAGCCTAGAACTTGAATTTAATCATTAGTGAGATAAATAGATAGATAGAGAGAGAGAGAGAGCTAGCATTGAAAGTGGAGAATGTAGATGTGTTTGGGGGAAAATATCAGAATTACATTGTCTGAGCAGTACAATAAAATATACAGCAGAGAAAGTGGACTCAGGCTGGATCTACACTGCCATATAATCCAAATTATCAAAGGAGATCATCCACATTATCTGCTTTGAAGTGCATTATATGAGTCCACACTGCCATATAATCCAGTTCAAAGCAGATAATGTGGATTTTATTTGGCAGTTTAGACAGAACCTTTCTGCACTGCCATCATAATGCAGATTGAACTGCATTATATGGTCAGTATATTATCATAATGCAGTTTGACTGCATCAAACTAGATTATATGACCATATAATGTAGTTCAATTTGCATTATAATGGCAGTGTGGATGGGGTGTGAGAGTCTACAGCGATCTGTATTTCTTCACAAGTGTTATAATTAATTTAATGATTTCAAATGCTGTTGGATGTAAGGATTTTTAAAAAAAATATTAATAAAAACTTAAAACATATTAAATTTAGTTAGCTGAGGAGTAGTATTTTTTTTCTTAAATCATAAGGATATAATTTTGAAATCTGGGCTTCTTCTATAATGTCATATAAATCCAGATTATCTTCTTTGAATTTGATTATATGGGAGTATAGACACATATAATCCAGTTTAAAGCAGATAATGTGGATTATCTGCTTTTCTAATCTGAATTATATGACAGTGTAGAAGGGAACAGAATCTCTTGGTCCTCCAGCAAGATTGTATGATTAAGTTCAACATGGAATTGCATTGGAGGGGCCACAATGCTTAGAGAAATACTCTTCCAAGGACTCTCTAGCCCTCCAAGATAATTTTATGTCAGTTTTGACTGGATTTAGAGATTCTCTGAGAAAATGTTAATCAAGTAGAGTTGCACTGGACACCTCAGAAATTCCTGCAGAAAACATATTGATCAAATCCACAAAAGTTAAGCCCTCACATGTGGAATGCCAACTGTATTGTAGGAACACAACACTTTGGAGGAACTAAACTATATAGTAATCTTCTATGCATCCTTGCAGAAAATAGTTGATGAGCACTGTGTATCCAACCTAGACATTCTATTTTGTTTTTATTCTAGACCATCCTACTGTGCCTCAGGAATGTGCAGCAATGTGTCCAGAGTTTCTGGAAAGAGAGCCTCCCAAAGTGTACCCTGGATACTCTGGGGTGTATCCTTATCATCCATTTCCTCTGGGATTTGCCATCAACCAACCTGGCTACAGAGGCCCAACGCATGGCCCTGTCCTACCCCTGCAAGCAGGTTACAGACACTTTCCTAGCAGTCACGGGCCAGGGAACGTCACTCCTGTACCAGTAAGTCATGTTTTTTAAACATTAGCACTTGTTTAAACAGCTTTCCCTTGGTTGCAGGGATACATGACCTTGCTATTTTAGTTATTATAGTGACAATAACATTAATAGTTTGAATAGCTTAAAAGGGTTAAAGTACATTAGTGACTTAGAGTACAAAAAGAAGGGGGGACCTGTGACACATCTTTAAGACAAATCTTTCTTTTTTTTTTTGCACAAGTTTTGTGCAGATTAAACTGGATTATATTATAGTGTAGACTCATATAATCCAGTTCAGTGCAGTTCAGTCTGCATTATATGAGTCTACACCAGGCATTTATTTATTTATTTATTTATTTATTTATTTATTTCGGGGTTCTTTTACCCCGCCCTTCTCACCCCGAAGGAGACTCAGGGCGGCTTACAAAAGCAAAGGCACAATTTGATGCCTACATCACAAAACAATCACACACAAAATTACATAAATTCACAGTTGACAACAATTCATGCATTATAACCATAAAATCAATAAAACTAATACAAACCCAATTCCTCCTCCTACATGGTCAGCGTTCGCTAACTCATAGTTCTAGTTTTCCGTTCCACTTCATCAATCCTGTTGGTCTTACTCGCCTGACTGTCTTATTTAATTGCCAGAGTGCCCAAAGGCCTGGTCCCATAACCACACATGGGCAAACTTCGGTTCTCCATGTTTTGGACTTCAACTCCCACAATTCCTAACAGCCTCAGGCCCCTTCCTTTCACCCCTCAGCTGCTTAAGTTTGCCCATGTCTGGTGTACACTAACCATATACGGCAGTTCAAATTGTACTATATGGCAGTGTAGATGGGGCTTTTGACCCACTTCTCTGGGTGCAGTACTGAATTGTACTTTTAATAACATGCGACAAAAAAATGTGTGGGTTTAGCCATCCTTCAGCGTTATTAGTAATCAAAAGTATTATTCATATTTAAAAGTAACGTATTCATAATGTATAACTCTCCTGAAATAAGAGTCCCAATATTTTTATTTATTTTTATTTATTTTTCATAGTGGAAGAATACAATAGATTATATTATGTATGCCACATAACCCTGAGTGTATTGTTTGCTTGATGTAGTAATAAAAACACATTTTTGTCTTAGATTGTTGAAGATTGGTCTTAGTAGCATCCTAGTTTACATGGTGGCTTAATTCATATCCTCAAAATCATTGTTTTTTAAGCAGAGACAAGATGCAGGTGGAGATTTTCGACCAGCTTATTACGCTCCATTGTCACCTTTCATGCCTCCAAACTTCCTGCCAAGCATTCACTATATTCCACCACCTGTTCAACTGAATGTCATGACTGAAGCTACAAAGGAAACATTGAGTGAGTATTCAGAGTGTAAAGTTACACAGGGTTTATGCTGATTTTTGGAACATATACCTGTAATGAGATGTTTTGGAACTTTATGAACTCACTCTGCCTCACATAACTTTCTGCCCCTATCCCCAGACTTAACTGATATTCATGTACTGACCAATAGTCTACAACTGTACAACCTTCATTTGGTTTCAAGGCCCCTGCAGGTACCCAAAATTTGAATGCTTAAGTCTCTATTAAATATGGTGTATGCCAGAAGCAATTACCTGTTTTTACCTTCAAGTATCATCACTGAACAACTGAGGCCCCATCCATACAGGCACTGTAATCTGCTTGGAAGTGTCTACAAAACATTCACATGCAGTCCAACCTCCGAACTGCATCCAGCTGAATACTGTGTATTAAAAAAGAACTTGCTAGTTATGGTGTCAGTTGTTGTATGAACAGTGCTGCAGAAGAGGCATTTAGAGCACTTATCAGGACAGGGTTCAAGCTACAGGAGTCAGAGATGGAACCCAGATAAACAGCTGGGAAGGTAAACCAATGCCTCCCCCAGCAAGGAAAGGGCAGTGATCTGATGGGAACACTGGCTCAGTTATCGCTGTTGCCTGGTATTCTTGCAGACTAATGCTGTTTTCAAGCTGTGCATTTTGCAGAGAAGCAAATACACACACACACTCCTGGGTTTGGATAGATTTGGATTATTGGAACTTTGTGGACTGTGGGAGCTAACAGCCAAGTTCCCGGGGTGCCTGTATAGGTACTCAGAAACAAACTGGATGTCTTTGATCTACATCCTGAAACTCTGGGCTCTTCTAAATAACACTAAATCACAGGTTTTAAACGGGCAAAAAAATCTCAGGAATTCAGAAGAGGTCCACATACAGACCTGTTGTTCCTGGGATTTCTGCCTCCATTGTCCAGACTTGATGCTTTGTTGCAAGAGTTAGAGGCTCCTAAAATGCCCGCTGTGGGACTTCCACCTGAAACTTCAACATTTTTTTTTAAAAAACCGTCAAAATGTGGATATTCGGAGAATCACTGCAAAAGTTTTGTTCTTTGTCCTGACCAGAGAAACTGTGCCCTCCAGACTTTTCATGAAGTATCTGCCACACAAACAACGTTTATTGGGTAGGACCACTTCTGCCCAAGTCAACACTTCACAATCAAACAGGAACACAAACTTTGAAGCCAGGAACAGAACTTTGTCATTATTGACACTTTTTAGAGCATGGCTGCCTGGCCATCTGTCCAGACAGATTTGGTTGTATACTTGTGGCACCAAACAACAGGGTGCTGTTCCTGGGTTATACATGGCTGTTCCTGATTGCTCTTATTGACTAGGGAGCCACAACTTTGTCCTGGGCAGAGAAAATGTGCTCTCCACACGTTTCATTAAGTTTCTGGCACACAAACAAACTTTTTGCCTTCTACTCAAATGTCACCTTCTATTTAGGAGCTGACCAATTAGGAACAAACATCTAAAATCCTGTGATTTCCGAATGCAAGGACATACAGACATGTGAAGATCCACATATTCGGCTCAAAACAGTGATATTCCCACACCTGGAAATCTCACTTTTTTTGCCTTTTGTAGCGATTACTTCTGCGTTTACAGGGAACGGTGTCAGGCCACCCTCCTGTTTGCTGCAGAAACTGCTGGGATAAAGGCACTGTCTGGATGGGCCCACAGTAAATGGCAGCATGGAAGCACCTCAGGAGTGCTGCAACTGCATGCCATGTCCCTGTGGAAATTACTTGCTACCCTGCAGTTGGCAACACCGATGGCACTCCTGCATGGTCGCTCACAAACAAGGAGAAGCACCACTAGTGCTGCCTATTGCAGGATGACAAGCAACTTCTACAGGAACAAAAGTTAGTTAGAAATAAGGCACTGTGCATCTGTTCTAGTTTGAATGTTTGAAGTTCCTCTGTTTTTGAAAGTTAGCATTTGTATTATTTTCAGGCATATACAGGGAACATTTTTTTTCCTATAGAGAAAATATGTGACCTAAATACAGTTTCTGGAGCTGTGTGATCTAGGAAGGACCATATTACCTGCTGTTTTATATCTGTAGTTAGGATGACTAAAAAATTCTTCACTTTTTATTAGTAGTTTGTCACAGCCTGGGAAGCTGTGTTTTGATGAAGCAGCTCGCCTCAAAATGGAAGCAGCTTTTTCCTTAATGGAAGCCCCATATAAATACACTCCACCTTTGCTGACAGGATACTCTCATCTCTAATTTCTCACCAAATCACATTTGTCTAGTTGTTGATGGCAAAGCTGACATGTTTCAGCTATTAATGACAGACTTTTTTGACCCCTCCATTAAACACAAGCATCTTGAGCTGTGAAATTGCCTATGGTGCAGCCATATGTGCATAATTTTGAAGATGTATGGCCTATCTGCCATACAATTAATTGCTTATTAACCCCAGAGCAAGCAGCTGCTACATATTTTATATAAGAAGACCCACCCCCCCCCCAACTGAATTTATAGTCTGAACACTTCTATTGTCAAGGAATCCAACTGATAGGTTTTATATTGTGCTCTCTGAAATGGAATTATAAGTACTTGACACTTGCTGTTTGAGTTAGCCACAAGTGAGCAAACTGCTAAAGAAGTCAGTCTTGGTAAAAGCTGCTAAAGAAGTTGCCACACAATCCAGTTTCAGAAAACAGATTAACTGCTTTGAATTGAATTATATGAGTCTGTACTGCCATATAATCCTCTTCAATGCAGTTGGTCTGCATTCAGAAACTGGATGATATGGCAGTGGAGATGGGGGCTTGGATATGTGTCCATGGCAGATGCTAGCTTAATGTGCATGCTTGCAAAACATGCCATGCTTTGGCTTCCTTATTTGATAAAGAGGTTGGACTTACTAGACCATGAGGCTGTTTCCAATTCTGTGATTCTATGACACTGTGGAGAAAAAATTAAATACACATGTTTCTTGTTACAATATCTTTAAATAAACAGCTTTGGGATTCCTTGTAAAACATGGAAAAAGTTAGAACAGTGAACCCAAAGTTGCATGTTATTTTCTGCTTTTGTGTTTCAGCTGCCACAGGAGATAGCCAAGATTCTGGGGTGATGTGTGAACACAGCCAACCATCTTCTCAGGAAGCTGACCGTGAAGATTGTCCCTCGTATACTAAGCGTTAAGTTGACTAACAAATCAATGTTGAAATGTTGTGTTTATGTAATGCAGTCTTGAAAGTATTGTTTTGTTTGGTTCTTGGCTATCACCCATCCTAGTATAGCCATAGGTTTAGAACATGAAAACACTTTGGTTGTTACATTCACAACTGTTGGCATCTTGTGCATTAGCCACAACGGGCATTTTTCCAATAAGTTTGATGCCTTGCCATCACAGTTGAGATTTAGGAAGAGCAGGCTTTCCTGTTAACATCACAGTTTCTTTCTGGCTGGAATAGAAAATGGGATAATGGAGGTCCAGTTAGACTTGTGCAGTTTTGGGGGAACAGTGTACAGCTTGCAGGTTTGAAGCAAATAAACACTTTCCAGGTTGAGTTACGTGCCTGTTGAATGACTTTATAACAGATGATAATGCTTATTTTCACAGTCTGGAAAGCTTTTGCTACCAGTTCTTCTGTACCAAGCTCTAGCGAAACTCTCAGACTGATTCTTTGACTAGTTTGCTGGTGTATCAAGCTTTGCAGTTTTAGACATTACATTTTATTTAGTTCAAACCTCAGGACAGGCAAAGGGGACGGGGACACTTGGTTGGGCTTGGAATTACAATATACATGTTTACAGGGAGGCATCAGCAGAGAAATATTCACTCTATGGCTGCCATACAATCCAGTTTCTGAATGCAGAATTACTGCATTGATCTGGATTATATGAGTCTACACTGCCATATATTCTAGTTGAGTGCAGTTAATCTGCATTCTGAAATTGGACTACATGGTAGTGTAGATCCAGTCTAAAATAGCTTCCCACAATTTGATCTCTTCTAGCAGCAATGCACAGCCTTGGCCATTCCTAGTCATTACATGGATGCATTGAGCTGTTTTGAGATGATGTTTTCCATTGTAGTCTGTGAATGTAGGGGGACAACTGTACCTATTTAAGTTGTGCCAGGGTTTATTCTTTTTATCACTGTCTAATGCATTAGCCCAGGTTTTCCTTTAGAAAAATGCATCTCCATTAGAAAAGGTACAGTTCTTGCCTAATATAAATGGGAATAGCATATCCTTTGTAATAATGTAGAGGCAACATTTGGGTAAAGATTAACGCACACACCTTAATTTACTGTTACCTGTTGTTTAAAGACCTGTTATGATTTTTTTTATACAGTGGAATGAAATATATTAAAATATTAATATTACCATTGTATTTGGTATTTTACTCTTTCTGTTCTACAGCCAGATTTCAGATGTTTTGGACAGAGGTGGGGATGGTTCTTATATCTGATTGCAATTTCTACTGTTTTTAAAAAAAAGAAAATAATAGGAAATTCAAAGTACTCAGGGATGTACATTCTTGCAGAGGTATTTTTTTGGAATCGATTTGCACTGGACTTTGTTCCTCAGCAGCAGTTGTACAGCTGACAAAATTGCACTATTTCAAAAGGCTTTAAAGAACAAAGTGACAGGAATTTTAATCAAGATTTATTTCATCCTGTCACTATGTACGGCAAAAGGAGTCTTTATTCAGATCTTCACTGAACCAACAAAAACAGTGCTTTATGGTGCAAAACAATTTGGTCAAAATCCACTGTGATAGATGTTTTGCTTCACAAACGGAAACAAACTGGAGCAGAGGAAAAGCACTGCAGTATCATTTGGGTGCCCTTGGTGGCACAGCGGGTTAAACCACTGAGTTGCTGAACTTGCTGACCCAAAGGTTGGCGGTTCGAATCTGGGGAACAGGGTGAGCTCCTGCTGTTAGTCCCAGCTTCTGCCAACCTAGCAGTTCGGAAACATGTGAATGTGAGTAGATCAATAAGTACCGCTTCGATGGGAAGTTAACGCCACTCCATGCAGTCATGCTAGCCACATGACCTTGGAGGTGTCTACGGACACTCAATTTCTCTTATCTCAGTTTCTAAGCTCTTTGGCTTAGAAATTGAGATAAGCACCACCACCCCAATTTAAACCAACATAAACTTAACAATATTTCAGTGGGAGACCCCAGGGGCCATCCAGTCCAACTCCCTTCTGCCATGCAGGAAAACCACAATCAAAATACCCCCAACAGATAGTCACTCAGCCTTTGTAATAATATTTATTAATTTATTAATTATTTACTACATTTATATACCACTTTTTTCCCCTAATGGAACTCAAAGCGGTTTTCAACATTGTAATATTAATAATAATGACAATAACAACAGAAACCTCAGAGGCCATCCAATTCAACTCCTTTCTACTAAGCACAATAACATCACTCACTAGTGGTGGTAGAGAAATGGGGTTTTGGAATCAAGGCAAAGGGAAAAAGGTCTGGATGGCGAGGAAGGCGAGGAAAAAAGTCTTTTGGGGTCAAGAGAGGCGGTGGGAGGAGCAGGAAAGAGGAGGAAAAGATTGGAGGGGAGGAGGAGAAAGGAAGCACGGAGCCCCTCAGTATGATTTGCAGATCCCCAAAGGCTCCACAGAGCAAACTTTGAGAACCACTGCTCTAGAGGCTAGAGAACATAGTAAGGATTATGTTTCTCTGCTCAATAGCAAAGGATTAATTTTGCCTCCTTGGCTATTTGTTCTCATTTGCTTTGTTGGTTTGGCTGGGATATATTTAGTTATCTGAAAAGGCATCACTTTCTTATCATTCTTGAATTAGCAGAATCACTTTCATTCATGACAGTTTATTTAAAAAATATGATTTTACAGCACTGTCATTGTCTAAAGTATGTCCCTTACCTGCTATGTACCGATCACAGTTTTTTAGACAGGTTTTCATAGATTGTAGCTTTAAGAAATCCCATTTTACATAGACAACTGATTGGTTGCTGAGTGAGCCGAATGCTGGTCTTGGTAGGCTGTTGATCTGACTGTTCTGATGGTGCTGCCAGCACGTCTTTTCCTAAGCAATTTGCTTGAACAAAGAGGGTGGCAATGGCGGTGCAATTCTAGAACTCTTGAGTGAGATCAGTTATCTGAAATCCAGTCCAATTGGGCTTTAGATGTTCATTTGGCACAGAGATTGCTTGCTTTGCCAAGATGGATTGCCTTTGCTTACAGAGAAAGAGTGGGATAGATGGATGGAGTGAAGCCATGGAGATTAGCCTGGACTTTTCAGCAGCCTTCAAGCCATGGACCATGAGGCCTTTTTGGACAGACTGTTCAGAGTTCAGAATGCAGAGCACTATGGTGCTTAGGACTCACACAATACAGGCAAACCATTGCAATTGAAGCATCATCTTTGACGTCCTTATTGCATGACGTACCACTGCCAGTCTGCCTTCTTCCCATAATTCCGTAATTATTAATGAGTAAAATCAGTTCATAGTTTCTAATCCTGCAATATTCCTGTTGCCTGCCTTTGTGTGATGGATCCTTTCTGCTTCTATGCTGGCTTGCCAGAGGTACATCAGGGAATGGGATTCTTCTCTCCCTGCTCTCCCTTGATGTTCCCAAACTGACTGTTTATTTTCTTTTTTATTTTCATTTAAATACATTTGGTCTTTTGGTTTTTAAATACTGAAATTTTACAATTGTTCTCAAAATAATAAATAAATAAAAATAAGGAGCAGCAGTAGTGTGGGAAGTGGGGGAGGTAGTGTGGGAAGATGGGTGCCAGATGCTGAAGATCATGACAATGGGCTTACAAGGTTTTGTGCACCCATCATCATAGGACCACTGATTGACATATTGGCTCATTAGCACCAATAAAGAGAGGTGCAGTATCAAGGATCCTCAATGTGGTGTGCATCTACTAACTTAATGGAATAGCAAGTCTTTCAGTGAGTACTTCTGGAAAGTGATCACTTTAATGAATAAATTGATAATAAATTGCCATTTTTTTTTCCGTGTCAGCAGTGACTTGAGAAACTGCAGGTCGCTTCTGGTGTGAGAGCATTGTCTGTCTGCAAGAACATTGCCCAGGAAATGCCCAGATATTTGATGTTTTACCATCCTTGTGGGAGGCTTCTCTCATGTCCCCACATGGGGAGCTAGAGCTGACAGAGGGAGCTCAACCCACTCTCTCCAGATTCAAACCTCTGGCCTGTTAGTCAGCAGTCTTGCCAGCACAAGGGTTTAACCATTGCACCATCGGGGATAATAATAATAATAATAATAATAATATTAATAATAATAATAATAATAATAGTTCCAAGTTGGGACATTGATATTGTCGCACTCTTGATAAACCATGAGATGCCCCCCGCTCCAAAATTGGGGGGAGAGTTACGCAAACCAAATCCAGGGCCCATGACAAATGCCTGCAAGTTGTGACAAAGAAAACAACTGAAACAATACAATGTTAAGCAATTTTAACAAATCTGAAAGATGGGTGGGATGGGACAGCCAGGAAAGACCTGGCTGGCAAACTGCCCAGCCCACCCTTAAATAAGATGCTGGTAGATCAGAGAGAGGATCCGGCCATTATTATTATTATTATTAATAATAAATAAGGAAATATGCAAGGACTTATATTAATCCATGTGGTGTGTGTTCCTATAACTATATATATAGATGCAATAAAATTTTTTATATGCAATCACTATTAAAGGGTATATTTCTGGTACATTTACCTCTGAATACAGCAAATACTTCATCTGTTGTGTTCACTCACATCTGTTTTATGCTCTTTTTATTTAAACTATAAAATGGGCAAAGAAGGAAAACAGTGTTTCCCTTTTTAGGATAACATCAGCTTCACATGTCAATATTTCTCTTTCCCCATGCGCTCCATCGTAAGTTTATTTTTTTAAACACTTTGACTTCTTTTAAGATGGCTTAAATTCCAGAGCCAACCAGAAAGCATCCATTCGATCAGCTTTGTGTTGCATGCTGAGTTGATTGCATTTGTTATGTCTAATGGCAGACAGATTTTTCTCAAAATATTAAACCTGGGTACTCGCATAGTCTTTCTGTTTTTATTGCAAACATGCAATTCATTGCTTCAATTATTACATTACCCAGAAGCAAAGTATACTATAGCACTTTTTAAACAAAGTAGATGACAGTCCAAATATC